TGCGGCAACCACATGTGACGACCCCGGGCTGGACTCCGCTTCGTCCACGGTGAAAGCCGATCCGGCGATCCACAGCGCGAAGTTGATGTATTTCCTCAGCGAACAGCACGGATCAGCTCCAGGTATGACGAAGCATGTATCGTCCTCTTTTGGAAGGCCAAACAAAGTAGTTTCGCTTTCACTACGAAACACACGGCAACAACAATACTATAGCAGAATAAAAGTTACGCCTTCTTTCTTTGCGTGAACATTTGGGCGGCGTTATGCAAATCTTCCCACATCGTGACATAGACATGTGGGGGCGTGTTAGAACGAGCCGTTTTAGGTAGGCGTGGCTGACTCTTAACTTTTATAAAGAATATCTCTTTGGATTTGAGACTTTAGTCTGCAACTTTACAGATCTTCTTTATGCACCAAGAGCTTGTAACACTCCAAAGAGAAAGGAAAATTTGAAATCGCATCATATGACCCCTTTAAAAGCAGCTGACAGGAAACCACTCACATGCACACTGAAAAGGCAAGAAATTAATTAATTAGACAGGTAGTTTGCGTTATTAATGATACACTTGTATCTTTCCTGCTTAAAAAAAGTTTCTTTGTTAATGGGTGGTTACCAGTTTCATCAGTATTCCAGCCTGTTTTTGGATTGGTATTGTCGAGTTGTCATAATGTCTGGGCTTGGTCAGAATTTTAAAGAACCCTTGAAATCAAATTCAGATATTTATATTTTAAAACTTACTCTTCTGATTATTGCTTGCATTACACAGATTTTTGTCTAGTCAAATGTTTTTTAGAATGAATCTGTAAAATTGTCAAGTGACTTCATAGTGTCTTTAAGAGACGACCTAAAAATAATTATTTTCTCAATTGTTTGCATTCCAATCAAAGTGTGAATTTCTGCATGTAAATATTCCATTTGTTTTGCATTCATTCCAAAAATCAATCTCAAATATATCCAGAGCACTATTTGCATGCTCTTGGCATGTCCTAAACATAGTATTTGTACTAGGTGTTCTTTGGTTGAATGTTTTATACATCAGGTGGTCTAGCTGCATTCGGAGCAGCCTGCTGTCCTGCCAATCATGATCACTCTGAAACATCAGACTGTCTGTGTTCTGCATTTTAAAAGGAAAGTATTGCTTCTTTAAGTGTGGAACAAAACATGCCAACAGTTTGGTGTCAGTAAGGTTTTTTTTTTTTGTGATGGTAAACACTTTTGCAGTTACAATATATATCAATATCTAATCAGTGTGGTTTAAAGGATCATGTGACACGGGCGAAATGGCCACTGAAAATTAAGCTTTGCCATCACAAGTGATATATTTTAAAATGTTAAAATTGAAAAGTTATTTTAAATTTTAAAAAATATTTCACAATATTACTTTACTGTATTTTTGATCAGATAAATGCAGATATTTTCAAAACAAAAAGTCTTACTGAAACCAAACGCTTGAACAATAATGAATGCCCACTGCTGGGTACTGAGGTTTCGTTATCATGTATTTTGAGTTCAAATGTAGCATTTAGATTTAAAATCTATGCTAGAATAAGTTTGGATTTTTTTTCTCAGGAGGTCAGAGAATGATTCGAATTATAATGCACATTGATGAACTGTTTTAAACTGCAATCGAATCATGCCTAATTATTTTTCCTCTGTTTTGGTTTCAATTCTAAAGGAAACTTCTTCAAAGTAACATAAGCAGTCAGTCAAACTTTTCACAACTGTTTCTGCCCTGAAGGTAAAAAAACAGCGACCATCAGCCTTTAGGCTGCTCATGAATATTTGAACTGTTGTCTGTGTGAACATATGGAGCAGATAGATTGGCAGACAGGTGGTTAGTTTCAATCTGTCCTTTCACCAGTCCAGTGTCAACATGAACAGTACAGATGCTGTTGGATAAGTAGCTCCATGGAATGTAACAGTAACACTTCATGTCAAATATAGTGTCGTCAAGCGCCTTCTGTTAATGGAAACATTATTTTACTCGGTTAATGCTCTTAATTTGCTCTTTTGCATGCGTGGCATTTCAGTGCTCCCTCAATATTTTTTTTCTCTGTAAAATGACTGTTGAAGTGAAATGCCAAAACTAATATTTGTACTGGATACATATATATATATATTAGATTTATGAGTCAGTTCTAATTTTGTATAGTGTTGATTGTACTGTAAGGAATGATGGTTGACAAAAAAAGTTATATTGCAGCTGGGAATGGGATGTCCAGCCATATTTTTGTGAAGCCAAAGCATCGGTGCGAATCTAAATGTTGCATTTTTACAGTGTATGTCTGCATGAATTCTCAATAAACCACTGATTCAAAGGCCACCGGTATTAATCTGAGTAACTTCCTAGACAAGCTGTAATAAAAGAAAAGCTAGTCAACTTATTTTTGTTTTATTTTCATAACTTTTTTTTTTTTTTTTCAAAACAGTGCTGTGTAAGAAAAATCTACACAACGCCCACATCACACCCGGTCCAGCACATTAGACTAACGGGCAAACTGGGATACAGGTTGGATGACATTCTTTTCAGTAACACAATTTAAAAACAATAACCAAAAAATAGTCGCATCAGAGAGAGAGGGTGAAAATGGAAACAACTTTAGGCATCTTGCAACTTCAGTGAAAGGAGCTGCTGAAATTACAGAAAAGCCAAATTAAATAACCACTGGTTTATCTCATTACCAGAAAGACAAGCGCCATCCAATTAAATCTAGTCAATGAAACAGTCATTAGAAAGTGTCCTATGAAGTGCCTCTGTGTGACATCTGCTTACTGGAAACAAGTGTTTGATTATCAGTGAGTCACATTCTGCTTCATCAAGCTGATTGAAAACTCCAATCAGTCACTTAATCAAAAAGTGAAGAAGGAACTTGAGGCAGAGCATAGCTCAATCATGATGTATATACTGAAAAGCCTCATTTTTCAAATTAAGTGATGTTTTCTTTTTAAAAAAACTGCACAATCGTTTGCTTTATTTGTATCTTTTCCGAAGTTTTAAGGAATTTTGTCCCAACCATTCCCTCATCCATGGGAGAGAAGACATGGGCATCATTTGGGGTCTAGAGTAGTTTAGACCAGGCTCATAACTCATCTTTCTCCAGATCATCCAGATCCACATCGGTCAGGTCAATGTCATCCTCCGTGGGCAACTGAGGAAAGGCCAAAAAAAGGGGGGTTGAAAACATGGAAGGATGACATCCATACACCCTCACTTTGTTTTCTATACTCACCACTCCATCGTTCCCATCCCAAGGTTCCACAGTGTTGATCTTAGGCAAAGCTCCACCTCCCACTGTAGCAGTGGAGCCACGGCCAACAGAAAGCTCCCTGCATAAATAAAAACATTAATAGTTTAACAGCATAAAACAGGCTGACAGTTACAAGGGCCCTTATAAACAACCCCTACAGTTTACTGTATGCTAACAGTCTCTGTGACGTAACTTGTTTCCCAGAAACATAAACTGCAGCTTTCTGTTACCTGAGGAATTCGTGGATGCCCGTTTCACTGAATGAGCCTCTGAGCAGGGCGAACTTCATCTTGCGAGCATTAATGGCTGCCATGGCAGGATAGCCAAATCCACCGATCCCAAGAGAGGACTCCAGCTCCATCTGTGCCCCTGCTTCAGTCCATAACCAACTGTACAGAGAGAGAGAGAGAGAGAAGGAAGAGTGTGACGTGTGTGACTGTTTTCCACTCTTTATTCCCTAAAGTCTCATCTCTGGCACACAAGCAGTGACATGTACTGGTGTTATTTATGGGCAGGCTGATCTCAACTTGTACTCAGACTGAAAACACTGACCCCCACATCTTCTTCTTGTATTTCTCTGCCATCGTCCTCATCACCTCCAGGTAAGAGTTTCTTCCAGATGCACCTGCGATCATAGAAAAATACAGAGACTGAGCTTAGCGTCCACAAATTAATAGCGTTAATATATATTTATTAGAAATGTTGGCAACTAAATAGTACTAAAATTACTAAAACTAAAATAAATTAATACAAA